CACTGTACATATTGCCAATATGGCTTGCAACAACCTTGTTAGGGTGAACTTTCTCCATAAAGCTATCCATCTTACACTACATAGTAAAAATCTCTTTAATTTCTGAAGAAGGCACCTTCTTCCATCTCTCTTCCTCCTCCTCTGCAGCAAGATTCTGAGCTGCGATGTGTTGCTCTTCCTGCTGAAGCTCTTGCAGCTCCTCAGTGGTGAGCTCTTCGTTGTGGTCTTCCAACAATTCTTCCACATCCTCCAAACTCACATCCAACCCCATGGAACCCCCCAGTGCCACAATTGATTTTACAACAGACATAGGCTCATTAGGGTCAGTCCCAAACCCTTCAAAATCCCTCTTGTCGACACAATCTGGCCATAATTTTTCTCCAGGCAGAGTTCAAAGTCCTGGTAGTCACTCCCTCCCAAGCCATACCTATAAGGGTTATGCAATGGAGGATGCTGAAGTGTTCTCTCCAAAATTCCCTTAGGGCCAAGTGAGTGTCTGTGGCCACAGTTAAGCACCTGTGAAACATTGCTTGTGTGCAGTTTGCAATGACCTGCTGGTCCAGGGGCTGGAGGAGAGGAGTGGTATTCGGGGGCAAGAACTTTACTGTGATAAACCCAAACTCCTCAAAAATTAGGTCATCCAAGTTTGGAGGGTGAGCAGATGCATTGTCCATTACAAGCAGGCACTTGAGATCCAATTTCTTTTCCAGGAGATACTCCTTCACACTAGGACCAAACACTTCATTGAACCACTCGACGAAAATTTCCCTCATGACCCATGCCTTACTATTAGATTTCCAAAACACACACAATTTACTCTTCATAACACTGTTTTTCCTGAACAGTCTGCAATTTTCTAAATGGTACACTAGTAATGGCTTCACTTTGAAATCCCCACTAGCATTAGCACAGAACATTAGCGTCAGCCTGTCTTTCATAGGCTGGTGTCTAGGCATTGCCTTTTCCTCTTGTGTAATGAAGGTCCTCTTTGGCATTTTCTTCCAAAAGAGGCCTGTTTCGTCACAATTGAACACTTGTTCAGGTTTCAGTCCTTCAGCCTCCATGTACTCCTGGAATTCATGCACATTTTTCAGATGCCTTGTGGTCCAAACTGGCAGCCTCACCATGCGTTACCACACTGTGTATGCCAGTACTGTTCTTAAATCTCTCAAACCAGCCTTTGCTGGCCTTATATTCACTCACATCACCACTATTTGCAGGTAATTTCTTTACCAAATCTTCATGCAACTGCCTAGCCTTTTCACAAATAATCTAAGTCATAAGAGTATCTCCTACTAATTGTTTCTCATTTATCCACACCAATAATAACTTCTCAACCTCTTCCAGTGCTGGTGATCTCATTTTTGTCAGCATAGTCACTCCCTTTGCAACAACAGCATCCTTGATTTCCATTTTCTTGGCCACTATGGAACAAAAGGTTGTGTAGGGTTTCTTATACATCCTGGACAGTTCGGCCACACTTGTACCACTTTCATATTGTTCAATGATGGCTTTCTTAAATTGAATCGTATTTCTCACCTTCTTTACCACAGGCTTGGCACTAGGAGCTTTCTTTGGAGTCATGGTAGCTTATTTAGTACTTTATTACTTGCAAGCACTAAAATAAATGGAAGATTATGAAATGTTTCACTGGAGCAAGTGAGGGGACCTTCGCTCACTGTAAACAATGCCAGACTGGCTGCTGCCACGGCTCACGCTGTGGGTACACATCCGGGACGAATTACGACTTGCGAGTCAACTTATGAAAAGGGAGTCCATGTTTATACGATAATAACCCTATGATTGGCGAAATTTACAATTGCCGGGAACTATGAAAAGTGAGGGACCACTGTATATAGAGAGTAAAAGAAAGGTGAAGAGAGTGGTGAGAGAGTGCAAAAGGAGAGCAGATGATAGAGTGGGAGAGGCACTGTCAAGAAATTTTAATGAAAATAAGAAAAAAATTTGGAGTTAAACAAGTTAAGAAAGCCTAGGGAAAATATGGATTTGTCAGTTAAAAACAGAATAGGGGAGTTAGTAGATGGGAAGAGGGAGGTATTAGGTAGATGGCGAGAATATTTTGAGGAACTTTTAACATGTTGAGGAATAAAGGGAGGTGGTAATTTCATGCACTGGCCAGGGAGGTATACCATCTTTTAGGATTGAAGAAGAGCAGAATGTTAGTGTGGGGGAGGTACGTGAGGCATTACGTAGAATGAAAGGGGGTAAAGGAGCTGGATCTGATGCGATTATGAGAGAAATGTTAAAAGCAGGAGGGAGGGGGATACAGCGTTGGAGTGGTTGGTACTTTTGTTTAATAAATGTATGAAAGAGGGGAAGGTACCTAGGGATTGGCAGAGAGCATGTATAGTCCCCTTATATAAAGAGAAGGGGACAAAAGCAATTGTAAAAATTATAGAGGAATAAGTTTACTGAGTATACCAGGAAAAGTGTACGGTAGGGTTATTATTGAATTAGAGGTAAGACAGAATGTAGGATTGCACATGAGTAAGGATGTTTCAGAGTGGGTAGGGGATGTGTAGATCAAGTGTTTACACTGAAGCATATTTGTGAACAGTATTTAGCTAAAGGTAGGGAAGTTGATATTACATTTATGGATTTAGAAAATGCATATGGTAGAGTGGACAGAGGAGCAATGTGGCAGATGTTGCAAGTATATATGGAATAGGTGGTAAGTTACTAAATGCTGTTAAGAGCCTTTATGAGGATAGTGAGGCTCAGGTTAGGGTGTGTAGAAGAGAGGGAGAATACTTCCCGGTAAAAGTAGGTCTTAGACAAGCATGTGTAATGTCACCATGGTTGTTTAATATATTTATAGAGGGGTTGTAAAAGAAGTAAAAGCTAGGGTGTTGGAGAGAGAGGTGGGATTAAATTATGGGGAATTAAATTCAAAATGGGAATTGACAGTTACTTTTTGCTGATGATACTGTGCTTATGGGAGATTCTAAAGAAAAATTGCTAAGGTATCAAATGATTTTGATAAAGAAAAGTTGGATATCAAATTGGGGAGGGGGAAGTGAATGTTTTCAGATACCTGGGAGTTGATGTGTCGGCAGATGGATTTGTGAAGGATGAGGTTAATCATAGAATTGACGAGGGAAAAAAGGTGAGTGGTGCGTTGAGGTATATGTGGAGTCAAAAAACGTTATCTATGGAGGCAAAGAAGGGAATGTATGAAAGTATAGTAGTACCAACACTCTTATATGGATGTGAAGCTTGGGTGGTAAATGCAGCAGCGAGGAGACGGTTGGAGGCAGTGGAGATGTCCTGTCTAAGGGCAATGTGTGGTGTAAATATTATGCAGAAAATTCGGATTTTGGAAATTAGGAAAAGGTGTGGAGTTAATAAAAGCATTAGTCAGAGGGCAGAAGACGGGTTATTGAGGTGGTTTGGTCATTTAGAGAGAATGGATCAAAGTAGAATGACATGGAAAGCATATAAATCTATAGTGGAAGGAAGGCGGGGTAGGGGTCGTCCTCGAAAGGGTTGGAGAGAGGGGCTAAAGGAGGTTTTGTGGGCGAGGGCCTTGGACTTCCAGCGTGCCTGAGCGTGTTAGATAGGAGTGAATGGAGACGAATGGTACTTGGGACCTGACGATCTGTTGGAGTGTGAGCGGGTAATATTTAGTGAAGGGATTCAGGGAAACCCGTTATTTTCATATAGTCAGACTTGAGTACTGGAAATGGGAAGCACAATGCCTGCACTTTAGGGGAGGGGTTTGGGATGTTGGCAGTTTGGAGGGATATGTTGTGTATCTTCATATGTATATGCTTCTAAACTGTTGTATTCTGAGCACCTCTGCAAAAACAGTGATAATGTGTGAATGAGGTGAAAGTGTTGAATGATGATGAAAGTATTTTCTTTTTGGGGATTTTCTTTCTTTTTTGGGTCACCCTGCCTCGTTGGGAGACGGCCGACTTGTTGAAAAAAAAAAAAATATAGTGGTAGTATTAGCATCATGGAGTTTTTGCAGATTTTAACAATGAACAGTTCTTTGTAGAATCACCCAGCCTGGCCTTGGCTCCTTTTTGTTGGAGTGTCTCAGACCAACGTCCACTATGGGGGGAGGTACAAGTACCTCCTTGTCTTCTAGGACCAACTGTCCCCCGGCCTATCCCCATGCCTTTCCCCCCACGAGGCTCTGAGGGAGAAGCTAGGCACTTTGTGCTGCCACAAACCCTGCCCACACTGGGCTCGAAGGGTGTGGCAGCTGCATAGCAGCAGATGATGTCAGAAGGTGTAAAGGCAGCAAACACTACAGGATCCTTGTGGAGGCACACCCAGCTTCAGACATAACGTCTGAGTGCTGGGGAAGCTCAAGAATGCCCCTTGCTGTGAGTGTTGCTGCTGCTAGTTCACTTCCGTTGCACTCTCCTGGACAGTTCTGTAATCAACTGACTTGGTCTGTTTCTAAATGGCTTGACCCAGGGGATTTTGTTCCAGGTCTCATGTTGAGAATTGACTGCATTTGCATTATTTTCATCACTACTCTATACTAATTCCTTTATCACAGGAACTGGATGCTCACTTTTATTTTGTCTCGACATTAGATGTATCACTTGGCATATACCATTCTATAGATAATAATTTAAATCATAACAGACTAATGCTTAATTTATATTCCGTTGTCTTATTTTTATCTTTTATCCTAGATGAAAAACATTGAAAACAAAGTATTTTAAATTTCAATCTTTATATTTTATCTTATATCAATGTGAAGATATAGCTATTTAAAAGCAAAACAAGATCCAACAGTTCTGATTTATCACTGAACTTGGTGAACTTTTGCACTGTCACTGCACACGCGAGGAAACAAACCACAACTTAAGATGACATAAAATGCTGTCCTTTTAAACAAAAGCAGTAAGCAACAATTCAGACTCAATAAACCAACCACATGGGTCTTTCTGTAGATTATTTCATCACTATATGTAACCAAACAAAAATGAATTTATATCAAAAATTCTTGAGCAAGTTTACTGTCCCTTATGCCGAAATACTGACTATCATAAGCCTGGGTCTCTCTACCAGTCCTAAAATAGAAATAGTTCATATTTTTATGTACTGTTTATAATTGACTAAAGCTTGACTGTGTACACGTCGGTCACGAATGTTTGACAATAGAAAAAATATTTGAGAATGAAAGTGCTGTATCGGGAGATGGTATTATGATGGTACATGCAAAAATGAAAGTCTCTAAATCTAATGTTCTCTGATTAAGTTGAGCCTAGCAAATGTGTAAGGTGATGTCTGAGTCACTATGTCAAGGTTACGAACAATAAAAAAATACGTACAGTATTTCAATCTAATAAGAATACAGGAGTACTGTAGCACCTATTAACTAATGCTCAAGCAATAGATTCAAATTAGATTGTTTGCTTTTGGCAAGAGTATTGTAGACAAAAGCAACAAACTATAGTTTTGACAGATGCACGAGTGTGAATGGTTGTATGAGATGGATCTGCCAGATGCACAAGTGTGAATGGTTGTGTTAAATGGATCTGCCAAGCATGGGACAGTAGGCTTACTATAGTGCCCACTAATGCTTTTCCATTAGTGCTTATTTTTATATCAGAATTAATAGCTGGTCTGTCAGTAGTTGTAGAAAATTGGAATTAGCAATTATAGGCAGGAGCTTCCTGGTAGCATAACCAGTAGGCCTGCCACAGAGCACTTTTCTTGTGTTCAGAAAAGGGATTACAGTTTATAGATCTCAGCTATTCAAGAATATTAATGAATAAGTCAATCACCTGCTTCTTGCCAAGACAACTGTCTTCAGAATCACAAAATCACAATGTATACTTCAACACATAAAGACACTTATATTACACACAAAGTATTTGAACTAAAATTCTTTGATAATGCAATAAGACAATCACCAACTGTCTTGGGATAATGTAATGCAAGACCCCATACATAGTAAAACAAATAGTAGCCTGTTCTCATCTGTAATGTCACTTCCTGACATCTCTTCACAAGTGTAAAGAACAAGGAACTAATTGGGCAACTTAGAGGCTAGTGTCCCAGCCACTGCCTACCAACAAAGAGTGAGTTTGTTGCTGTCCATAGTTTTTACTATACCAAAGGAAGCAATTTTTATGTTTCAAGGGTTATAAAGTCACTTTTTCTAGCATTGTGAGTTGCATTAACATATACAGTACAATGAGGACTGATAACTGGCTGCAATAATGTAATATCTAAAATAAAAATTACATTGAGAAATTTGAATTCATAGGACAGGTGGCAGTGAAAAAAAAAAAGCCTTGCACGAACAGCCAGAACTTACAGGTAAGGCAGGCATAAGCAGCTTATGATCTTGCAAGTCCTTCCTCTTCAGGGCTAATCCTGCATCATCAACCCATTCCTAACTTCTTGTGAGAGTCAACTTGTAGGAGCTTGATCTGATGCAGAACCTCAAGTTTTGAGTAGCCAAGTTCATCACAGTTATTTGCTAACAAGCACAGAAGAACCTAGTGACTGTTACAGAAGGAAAAAATGGTGTCAAAGTAATGTTATACAATGTTCAATTTTCAAATCTTATACTGTTAATGATGACAAAGGTTTACACACAACAAGGATGCAAATTTACAACAGAAACTGGCAAATAATGATGCTTTTATTCACTGCAAATTAAAGGGAAAATGAAGGCAGAAACACTAGTAAAATAGTGGAAGACAGTATGTAGTGAATAGAGGGCAGAAGAATTGTTTCCAAAATACAATGAATACAACAGGATTTCCCCAAAAATTCTTTTTTTTTTTTTTTTTAATAAAAATCTGAAAAAATCATCTTCAATATTCTTCCTGTTTCATGGAAGTTTCTTTTTTTTTTTTTAATAATCTTATGTATGTTACATCTCTTATCTTCCTGAAGGCCTGTTCCTTCTTTTCTTTGAAAAACATCTTTCAGCACTGGTAACCATTTCAGTTTTTAATTTTTTTCTAACTTGTCCACATGTTTTTACAAGTGTAGACAATACCATTGCTGCATCTTCAAATTTTGGCTGAATATATGTTAAACAGTTTCCTCAACATGTGCAACTACACTTGGTGGCCACTATTTAGGTATACTTGTTCCCACTTTATATAGGTGCATCTGCTTGCTAATGCAAGTAGCCAATCAAGTGGCAACAGCACCATTCCTGATAGCATGCAAACATGGTCAAGAGGTTCAGTTGTTCAAACCATTTGGATTCGAGAAGAAATGTAACAAGTGACTGGAATAAATGTTGGTGCCAGAGTACTTCTAGCAGAGAATGATGTGAAAAAAACAACCAGTGAGCAGAAGTTCTGTGAGTAAAAATGCATTGCTAGTGAGAGGTCAGAGGAGAATGGCCAAACTAGTTCAAGCTGACAAAGGAAACAGTAATTTAAATAACAATGCATTCCGTGTATGTAAAATATCTCTGAACACAAAACACATTGAACTTGAAGTGGATGGGCTACAGCAGCAGAAGAAGACCACACTGGGTTCTACTCCTGTCAGCTAAAAACAGGAAACTGAGGCTACAGTAGGCAAAGGCTCACCAAAAATGGACAGCTGAAGATTGGAAAAGCACCACCTGGTCTGATGAAATCACAATTTCTGCTGCAACATGCAGAAGGAAAGGTCAGCATTTGGTATACACATTTGGATGTGGTAGAATGAGAGTTTAGAAGCATGAATTTCCAGCTGTCAAATACACAAAAACTGCACGATGCTATCATGTCAATATAGACAAGAATCTAAGGTATGTTTCCAGCACCCTGCTGAATCCATGCCATGAAGAATTCTGTGGGGAAAAAGTGGGCCTTACCCAGTACTAGAAGAGTGTACCTAACAGTGGCCACTGAATATATGTGCACATTTGTGTACACCTGGAGATGACTGAAGAGGGTTTGGGGGTCAACGCCCCCATAGCCCGGTTTGAGAGAATGGTGTGTAGGAAATAAATCTTTGGTTTGATATGTTACTGAAGTACAAGTAAAGCAATATCTAGGAAAGGATTCATTGTTGGAGTTGGTAAGTGCAGTGCATGAACTCTCTAAAGGCAGATGGTGATGGTGTACCTAGGGAGATTAGATTTACTTTACATATTGTCGGTAATTCTACCAACTTTATTACAATTAGAATTGTACCACGTGTCTGCAAATCTGCAAAAAGCAGCTAAAGATAGCGAGTTTTTAGCACTCTTCAGAGAAAGCTAAGAAAATTAAACCTGTCTCATCCATTTTAGCTCAACCACAATTGGACATTAAGAAAGAGGTCCTGAGGGAGCATGTATAGATGATAGTTTCTCTCCTTCCCTTGCACAGTCTACATCATCACTGAGCAACAAGATTCAACCAAGTGATTCTTATTGTCCTACGATAAGACACGTTTGTGCAGGAAGTGAATCTGACTTAAAAATAGTCAACTAAAAAACTATTATAAATAAATTACTTGTGTAAAGCCTTCAGAGCTTCCTGGAGTCCACATGAAAGATCATCAGTCATAAGAGCTTGTGTTAGCACTTCCATGGAGTCACTGACCCCTATAGGAACACCTACACCTGAAAATTAAAGTGTAACATAATGATAAATATTTTGCACATTGAAATATGAATAAATCTAATGTTCACAGCCTGAATACAGTAAGCACTAGATTTGATAAACCACAGAACGGGTGGATTTTGAATCCATGGGGAGCGAGTTATGAGCTCAAACCCCACCTGTTCCCGGTTTGTTTACAATTGTGGTTTTACAATTTTGTGAGACTCGATTTAAATGGATTAATAGGGGGAGTACGTGGCCGTAAATGGCACTTGTGGTGAATAGAGACGAGAATTCTGAAATACAGTGGAACCTTGGTTGTCGAGAAACTCGGTTGTCGAGAACCTCGGTTGTCGAGAACCTCGGTTGCTGAACAGACTAGCAGTCAAATAAATTGGTTTTCGAACAAGGAATTCGGTTCTTGTTTTCATACATTGTCTAGGTTGTCAGCCGACCATGCTTGGATCACGTAATCACCAGAGTCCACAGAGTGGGTTTCAGTCAGTATAGTGACAAACACGGGTGCAGTAAACATCTCTTGAACTCTTGCTGTGTATCTTGTAAAGGTAATGAAACCAAAAGTATGAACTTTGATGGAAAACTTACAGAATTACGCTATAGCGAAGTTAGCAGTCTCAGCAACATTTACGCATCGGCAATTTCACCCACTTTGAGCCCTATTTTGGGCCAATTCCATTGTTCCAGTCAATCAAACTCATAGCTATTTTGCTAGAACTCCTTTTATTCTATCGAATGAGTACAAGAAACTGCCCATTTACTTATTACAAACTACCCAATAAAGTGATCTGTAATTACTAATTTGGCCAATTTCACACAAAATTCAAGAAAGGCCAATTTCAAAATAGGGTCCATCATAAACAATGTAGACATTCCTGACACTAAATTAACATTGTATCTGTTCATTAGTAAAGTCTCAAGGCCCCTGTTATATTATACTTGCTTTTCATTTTGAATTTCTATTGACACAAAAAAAAGAAGATCTACTGTTATTCAAATTAATGCATAATTGTAATAATTGTATAAATAATATTAGCACATTTGTGAATGCATATTAGACCCACCAGTTGATGTGTATTGGACACGTGACAAGATTTGTTTATTCATGAACATTAGCAATAATCAAATATTTCTGCTACTTTGAGCTCAATTTCAAGCTGCTTTTAGTCTTTAAATCAATGAATATCATCTATATGTCTGCAATATATCTTTCATTCTATCAAATGAGAGCAAGAAAATGAGAATACAACCATAAATACCATATAAAAATACACCGCAAATTCGGTTATAAACCAAAAACATGGTCAGTTTTTTTTTTCATTATGCACTGCGTGCTGCAGGATTTTTTATTATAATGCACACACTAACCATGCAGACCTATTCTCTCACATGTAGGCCTACCAGCTTTCTCCCTCAAGATTTGAAGCCGCTAGAACTTTGCTATTAGCTCTCCGTTGACAGGTAAGAGGCAGTTAAATTTTCACTTACTGCAAAGTATTTCAGTTAAATTTTCATTTACTGCACAGTAATTCAATTAGATTTTCATTTAGTATTCAATTTTTACAGTTTCTATGTACTGCATAATTTTATACATTGTTTTATATAGTAGTTAGTACACAGTACTATTATTAAATTATAATACCGACATTTTTGGTCTGGAATAGATTAATTCTCTTTATTTTTTATGGGAAAAATTGGTTTGGTTGTTGAATTGACATCTGGAACAAATTAAGTTCTACAACCGAGGTTAGTAGGATGGTAGACAGCAACCACCCAGGGAGGTACTACCGTCCTGCCAATTGAGTGTAAAACGAAAGCCTGTAATTTTTACATGATGGTAGGATTGCTGGTGTCTTTTGTCTGTCTCATAAACATGCAAAATTACAGGTATGTCTTGCTACTTCTACTTACACTTAGGTCACACTACACATACATGTACATGTTTATTTATACACACTCATCTGAGTTTTCTTTTATTTTATCTTAAAAATTCTTGGTCTTATTACTTTTCCTTTTATGTCCATGGGGAAGTGGAATAAGAATCTTTCCTCCATAAGCCATGCGTGCTGCAAAAATCAACTAAAATGCTGGGAACAATGGGCTAGTAACCCCTTTTCCTGTAAAGATTACTAAAAAGAATAAGAAGAAGAAAATTGTCAAAGTGGGAAGTCTGAATGTGCATGGATGTTGTGCAAATGATAAGGAAGAGATGATTGTGGATGTTATGAATGAAAAGAAGCTGGATGTCCTGGCTTTAAGTGAAACAAAGCTGAACGGGCTGGGAGAGTTTCAATGGAGAGGAATAAATGGGATTAGGTCAGGGGTTTCAAATAGAGTTAGAGTTAAAGAAGGAGTAGCAATAATGTTGAAGGATTAGCTATGGCAGAAAAAGAGGGACTACAAATGTATTAATTCAAGGATTATGTGGAGTAAAATAAAGACTGGATGTGAAAAGTGGGTTATAGTAAGCGTGTATACACCTGGAGAAGATAGAAGTGTAGAGGAGAGAGAGAGTGATTTTGGGAAATGTTGAGTGAATGCGTGGGGAGTTTTGAATCAAGTGTGACAGTAATGGTGGTTGGGGAATTCAATGCTAAAGTGGGTAAAAATGTTATGGAGGGAGTAGTAGGTAAATTTGGGGTGCCAGGGGTAAATGTAAATGGGAAGCCTTTAATTGAGCTATGTGTAGAAAGAGATTTGGTAATAAGTAATACATATTTTATGAAAAAGAGGATAAATAAATATACAAGGTATGATGTAGCAAGTAATGAAAGTAGTTTGTTAGATTATGTATTGATGGATAAAAGGTTGATGGGTAGGCTCCAGGATGTACATGTTTACAGAGTGGCAACTGATATATCTGATCATTATTTAGTTGTAGCTGCACAGTTAGAGGTAGATGGGAAAAGAGGAAGGTGGCAACAACAAGTAAGAGGGAGGTGAAAGTGTATAAACTAAGAGAGGAGGAAGTTCGTGTGAGATATAAGCGACTATTGGCAGAAAGGTGGGCTAGTGCAAAGATGAGTAGTGGGGGAGGGGGGTGAAGAGGGTTGGAATACTTTTAAAAATGCAGTATTAGAATGTGGGGCAGAAGTTTGTGGTTATAAGAGGGTGGGAGCAGGAGGAAAGAGGAGTGATTGGTGGAATGATGAAGTAAAGGGTGTGATAAAAGAGAAAAAGGTACCTTATGAGAGGTTTTTACAAAGCAGAAGTGTTATAAGAAGAGCAGAGCACAGTGGTCCCTCATTTTTCATAATTAATCCGTTACTGGAGCCAATACTATAAACGAAATTTACGATTTACGAATCAATTTTCCCCATAAGAAATAATGTAAATACAATTAATCCATTCCTGACACCCAGAAGTATTGAAACAAAAAAACTTTTTACACGAAATATAGATGTAGTACATAAACAATACAATGGGACATGATGAATGAAACATTAACAGCATAACACTTACCTTTATTGGAGATTCTTCTTAGTGTATCGGAGACTGGAGAAGGAGAGTGGATTGTTTATAGTTTGGAAGGGGAATCCCCTTCCAGCAACACCTCAGGTACCAATTGCTTTTCTGGGGTTGCTTGTCTTCTCTGTTTCTTAATGCCACTAGGACCACCTTGAAAGTCAATGGAGTCCTGTCTCGCAAAATAACTGTGGAAAGAGCTCTGTTTCTGGCGTCTCTTTAACACTTCCCTAAAATGGCCCAAGACATTGTCACTGTACATGTTGCCAATATGGCTTGCAACAACCTTGTTAGGGTGATGTTTCTCCATAAAGCTTTCTATCTTACCCTACTTAGTAAAAATCTCTTTAATTTCTGAAGAAGGCACCTTCTTCCATCTCTCTTCCTCCTCCTCTGCAGCAAGATTCTGACCTGCAATGTGTTGCTCTTCCTGCTGAAGCTCTTGCAGCTCATCAGTGGTGAGCTCTTCGTTGTGGTCTTCCACCAATTCTTCCACATCCTCCAAACTCACATCCAACCCCATGGAACTCCCCAGTGCCACACTTGATTTTACAACAGACAGGCTCATTAGGGTCAGTCCCAAATCCTTCAAAATCCCTCTTGTCGACACAATCTGGCCACAATTTTCTCCAGGCAGAGTTCAAAGTCTGGTAGTCACTCCTCCCAAGCCATACCTATAAGGGTTATGCAATGGAGGATGCTGAAGTGTTCTCTCCAAAATTCCCTTAGGGTCAAGTGAGTGTCTGTGGCCACAGTCAAGCACCTGAGAAACATTGCTTGTGTGTAGAGTTTTTTAAAGTTTGCAATGACCCGCTGGTCCATGGGCTGGAGGAGAGGAGTGGTATTCAGGAGCAAGAACTTTACTGTGATGACCCAAAACTCCTCAAAATTAGGTCATCCAAGTTTGGAGGATGAGCAGGTGCATTGTCCATTACAAGCAGGCACTTGAGATCCAATTTCTTTTCCAGGAGATACTCCTTCACACTAGGGCCAAACACTTCATTGAACCACTCGACGAAAATTTTCCTCGTGACCCATGCCTTACTATTAGATTTCCAAAACACACACAATTTACTCTTCATAACACTGTTTTTCCTGAACACTCTGGGGTTTTCTGAATGGTACACTAGTAATGGCTTCACTTTGAAATCCCCACTAGCATTAGCACAGAACATTAGCGTCAGCCTGTCTTCCATAGTTTGGTGTCTTGGCATTGCCTTTTCCTCTTGTGTAATGAATTTCCTCTTTGGCATTTTCTTCCAAAAGAGGCCTGTTTTGTCACAATTGAACACTTGTTCAGGTTTCAGTCCTTCAGCCTCTATGTACTCCTGGAATTCATGCACATTTTTCAGCCACATTGTGGTTCGAACTGGCAGCCTCACCATGCGTTACCACACTGTGTATGCCAGTACGGTTCTTAAATCTCTCAAACCAGCCTTTGCTGGCCTTATATTCACTCACATCACCACTATTTGCAGGCAATATCTTTACCAAATCTTCATGCAACTGCCTAGCCTTTTCACAAATAATCTAAGTC